TGAATACTGTAAAGCTGAATACTGTTTTCAATATAAAGCTGAATACTGTTAAGCTGAATACTGTTTTCAATATAAAGCTGAATACTGTAAAGCTGAATACTGTTTTCAATATAAAGCTGAATACTGTTAAGCTGAATACTGTTTTCAATATAAAGCTGAATACTGTAAAGCTGAATACTGTTTTCAATATAAAGCTGAATACTGTTTTCAATATAAAGCTGAATACTGTTTTCAATATTAATCTGAATACTGTTTTCAATATAAAGCTGAATACTGTAAAGGTGAATACTGTTTTCAATATAAAGTTGAATACTGTTTTCAATATAAAGCTGAATACTGTAAAGCTGAATACTGTTTTCAATATAAAGCTGAATACTGTAAAGCTGAATTCTGTTTTCAGTATAAAGCTGAATACTGTTTTTAATATAAAGCTGAATACTGTTTTTAATGTAAAGCGCAATACTGTTTTCAATATTAAGCTGAATACTGTTTTCAATGTAAAGCTGAATACTGTTTTCAATGTAAAGCTGAATACTGTAAAGCTGAATACTGTTTTTAATATAAAGCTGAATACCCTTTTTTCAATATAAAGCTGAATACTGTGTTCAATATAAAGCTGAATACTGTTTTCAATATAAAGCTGAATACTGTTTTCAATATAAAGCTGAATACTGTTTTCAATGTAAAGCTGAATACTGTTTTCAATGTAAAGCTGAATACTGTTTTTAATATAAAGCTGAATGCTGTAAAGCTGAATACTGTAAAGCTGAATACTGTTTTCAATATAAAGCTGAATACTGTTTTCAATATATATAGTTGTCTTTCTGATCCTATTACATGATTTAAGCGAGAAACAAGAAAGTGGGTTTGAGCGCATGATCCTTGCTTGAGCATGAGAACGGTTTCATGATTACGGGCACGGGTCAGTACACATTCATGACACGAATAAACAAAACAGGATTTCGAATAAGTAAATAATATGCCTGAATATGTAACATCGTTGCACTTCTGTTCACCACTCACTTAAGAAAATTATTAGCTTACCGATGACGCTGTGGATTTCGTAGTTTGAGTGGCAACAATGCTGTCTTTTTTGTCCGTGATGGTCATGTTGGCACTTCCGGTGCTGTATAAATGGTCTACCCTATAAATCGTCCACGGTCTACAGAACCAATAGGAAACAAGAAGAATATGAGGAATATCTCACTATCGTCATGCCACAAACACAGTAAAAAAAAAACGAGTTCCAAACAGGTTCTCTCAGTAAAATGGTCTATCCTATAAATCGTCCTCGGTCTACAGAACAAATAAAAACAAGAAGGATGTTATAAATATCTCAAAGACTTGAAGTCGTTCACTATTAGCATACTTCACACCGAGAAAAACCGAATATCTCAGTAAAGTGGATTATCCTTTAACTCGTCCTTGGTTTACGAATGACTCAAAACTCAAAAAGGCGTTCAAAGCACACACAGTAAAACCGAGTTCCAAACAGGTTCTCTTAGTAAAATGGTATATCCTTTAAATCGTTTTTGGTTTACAGATTCATAGAATGGAAGGCATTCACAACACACACAGTAAAACCGAGTTCCGAACATGTTTTCTCACGAACAACATTGGTCCATCATTGTGTTAAGATTAAGGTAGGGAAGAGCTGACACCTTTGGTACAGGGCCATACACTGGGGTTGTAACCCCATACAAATGCCAAAATGTTGACAGCGATGTATCTCCTTGTAACTCAACCGGAAACAGACATTAACAGACAATACTACAGTACGTAGAGTACTATTGTGTCGGCGTCCAAATTGCGGTTTTGAAAATATGAAAACAGAAAAAAACAAATGTCAGGGTACCTCCCTTTAATAATCACGTGATCAATCGTCTGGTGGAAGGAAGGGGTAATTCTGCGGTGCCCATTAGGGGTTCAGGGGGCAGATACGTGGCTTCTTTGTCTGCGTGAGCATGCAACTATTGCATGCATACAAATGTGCCCCAAATATGAATGGTTGGTTTAAATTTAATTTCCAGTTCAATTTTGATATAATACGTTTTCATTCTGCAGCAAAACTTTGATGGGCGAGCCAAAAAACTTCAATAGCGAAACCGAAATGTCTGTTATATAGCTATAGACAATCGCTATGATACGAGACCGTGCGCTGCAGTGAATGCAAAATTTGTATTTTTTTGCACACATCCTTTCACATACATCAGTAAGGAGGAGGGGGAATTGGGCCGTAAGAGTCGTTAAAAGTTATGGTCCCGAAATATGCAATAGACGTTTTCTACATGGGCAGTCCTGGCTACTGTGCACCTGGGGAGAGACGTACGGCAAACCTGCTGTGTTAATTGGGGAAATTCATTAGACATGGACTGAGCGAAATGATAAGAATTACCCAAAATACCAATAGGATACAAAGACTGGTAAGAGAGTGTGTTTACAATTACACGTAAACAGCCTCGAGATTCTATTTCCTGTGCAGTCATCCTTTCATTCCAGTTTTCATTTGATCATTTCCATATAGTGTTATTTCATGATTTAAAAGTGTCGATTTAGTCTGTACAGTTACCACCATTGTTTATCCCACTGAGGGAAGTACATTCTTTGACTCCGTTTTAGAAAATTCTTTCAAGAAACTTTCGATAAAAAGAACGACACCCTAACATCACTAAGTGTTAGTTTCCTTCGGTGAAAATCGCAATACCTTCACTACACATGCTTTTAATGAAATTTCAAGGGGCCTGCATCTATAGGTGTATCACGTCTAGTTATATGTGAGGCTTCAATGACCCATCTGGGTTAACACACCTGCCCCCNCATGTACAAGTAAGCGCCGGTTGTGTAAGAACCAGGTATATGATAATTAGCTGCCCCTCGTGACAGAGACCCCGTATGTCAGAGATCTGGGCATGTACTATGCGGGTGGTACTAGAACAATGTACTTATACATCGTAGTCTGTTTCCTGTTTACGAACTAATTAGTTTTTTATGTAAAGCCTGAAATATTGAGTTAACCTCATTGTTCTCTTACACTATTTATAGATTTATAGACATGTTGTTTTCAAAAAAAAGGTTTATCTCAAAATCGTGGTAACATATTAACAAGAGGCCCATGGGCCTTAACGGTCACCTGAGTCCTACAGTATTTATTTTTGTTGTTGAAATATGTACCAATTTGAGTAAAAAATAGTTAAGTATAATGTTAACTTAACTTTGTCAGGACCATGAGCTGATTATTCCTAGACCGATTTTCAGTGAGATCGGCCTATTAGAACTTGTTTTTACACTGTAAGTTTAAAATAGGTATTTACAAAATAGCGGCCATGGCAGCCAAATTGTATTTCTGATTGACCCGAAAAATAACAACACTTTGTCAGGACCAAGAGTCGATCATTCCTACAAAGTTTCAGTTCAATCGGCCTAGCAGAACTTGACTTTAAGTTTGAAATAGTTTTTCAAAATGGCGGCCGTGGCGGCCATATTGGATTTCTGATCGACCCGAAAAATAAAAAGACTTTGTCAGGACCATGAGGCGATCATTCCTACCAACTTTCAGTTCAATCGGCCCAGCAGAACTTGACTTTAAGTTTGAAATGTAAAATGTTAATGGACGACGGACGACGACGGACGAAAACGGATAGCAATAGGTCACTTGAGCTAAAGCTCAGGTGACCTAAAAATAAAACAAAGCATGTTTTCATGAGAAATAAACATATTGCCTTAAAAAATTGCGATCGTCCTCAACATAGTCCCAACTCTCGAGTGTTTTATATATACTCAACAACTCGCACAACATGAAAGTCCGAATGAAAGCGAAAGGTGGACATATCTATGTTATATTTATCGATCTATTGTTTGTTTTATGACATGCCACAAAATCTCTCCATTTTAGAAAATCTTTGATACTTCTATATATTGAAAATATTTTCTATTTATTAATTTAAACACTAAATATCAGTGATTCGACGAGGATTCAAGTGTTTTCATTATGTCAACCCATTACTACAAACAGCAATTAGCATGTTAATACATAATTCCGGACTTTGAACATTTATATCCGACTCCTGTACAGTTTATTTCATCATTGACACCAATAACATTTATGGCATATTTTTACCTGTTATCCTTGGAGACACTTTACAATCCTTTTGATGATAATAAATGTTCCTATCTGTAAGCTGTGATTGGCTTTAAGTGATCATTCAAATAACTAGATGGCTGGTGTGATGTTGGGGTATGCATTACTTACAGAACAGATGAGGAGGGGATTAGTAGGGATTCGGGGTGCTACTATGAATGGAGACCAGAAAATAACTTTTATTTATCCACCATCTTCTTATCTGGAAACGTGGACTTGTTTAAATCTCAGTCTTTAATTGATTGAATTTTTAATTCCAGTGCCGTTTTTTCCACCATAGACAGCCCTCTAATGATCCCCATGGTAATTAGTAAGTAACATGTTAGTGAGGATGAGGATGAGCAATGGCTTGAAATGGAAAGATTTGTTTTTTTCTGTCAGTTACTAGAACAGGGTAATTACAAATATCTGTCCAGTGTATCACACAACTGGGCAGAATGGGAGGAGGCAAGATTGATGGCCTATAAGGAGGAATGGATATGGATGCTGTGTAGCACCGTGGGGTGTAGGGAGTCAACCTAATTAAATATTGCACTTTCTTTAACAGAAAAAGACAAACAAGTAAATGAGCTATCAGTACTGTAAGTCTGTGTGTTATTGATGCTGTTAGAACAACAGAACTTGTTTATACTATAGTGTACAGTCTGAGTTCTTAACTAGCCTAACGATTAATTATTTACTCTTGTTCCACATAAAAAAGTACAAGTTGCTGTAACAGGAGACCAAGGGTTAACTAGTAATAACCTGTTGTCCTCTGCTTCTAAGTAACGTCCTAGGTACTTTTTCTGATGTTTCCTCTACCTCATATATTTTACTCCTGCAACATGCTATGTCTTTGAAAGACAACACAAACAAACATAAAATCATCCAATTTTTTATTACAAAACTTAAACTTTGAGCACTCCAAAACATGAATATGGAATCACACAATCTTCATAAAGACAACAATAGAAATAGCTTGTATCTATACAGACAACACTGAGGACAGTTTGTATCTATATAGACAACACTGAGGACAGTTTGTATCTATATAGACAACACTGAGGACAGTTTGTTTCTATATAGACAACACTGAGAACAGCTTGTATCTATATATAGACAAGACTGAGGACAGTTTGTTTCTATATAGACAACACTGAGGACAGCTTGTATCTATGTAGACAACACTGAGGACATTTTGTTTCTATATAGACAACACGGAGGACAGCTTGTATCTATACAGACAACACTGAGGACAAACATTGTACTTCAGCACTAATTACAAAAGAAGAAAAAACATTTAAAATAACCTGCATATTCAATCCGTAGACACAAAAACTTAAACCTTCAAAATCTTAAACAAAAAAAGATGCCCACAATAAAGATGACGTAAATATTCAAGGGTACAGTTAACAAAATGTACTAACAAACTCCACACATGGGGAATGGTATATAATGCATTATAGATGTTCACACAACCATCACTAGTTTCACACATCACCAGTGGGTATAGGTCAGACACTTCTGTCAGATCATTTTCCACAGAGCTTCAGGTTCCCAGACAGTACTGACACCCTGACAGACTAACATTAATAGTCCATGTCACCTAACCTACATTTATATAAAATTAAAGAATTTTGTGGCTCTGCGTCTCTGCACCAGACAGGTTTTCTGAAGTTGATAGCAGACCTTATGATTGGTGACCCATTTGTCACCATGGCGACTGGTTAAGGAATTTGGCAAAATAAATATTTACAAAAAACAAGTCAATAGTTGAGGTTGAAATAACATGAATTGATAAAGATATGCTATATACAAGAAATAAACCATTTATTTCCCATGTTTCAGAAGTTACCCAACTTCAAGGTCAACACAGCCATTCAAATCATTCTTCATCAAAATGTGGATGGAAATAGGGATGTTTGGAAGTTACAAGTGGGGAAGTTTTGTTCGTCTGCCAGAGGTAGATATAAACGAGGAACCAACATTATACCATGGTATTTCAATTTCTGGTTAATGTAAATCCTAAATGTTACCTGCAATCTTCAGTTAAATCCCTACAGTCTCAATGCATGTGGCCAAGTCTTTTTCTGTTTCTTTAAAAGATTTAAGGCAGCTCATGCCAATGTGGGCGTGGCTTAAAAACAGGAGTTATCTTCTCTAGAATCAGTTTCCACCTTTCAATTTGATGTTATTCATTTCCATGATTAATTTCTATACCAGAGCATTGGCGTATATACTCTATACAGAACTGTTACAGCAGTCCTGCTTAATATTTACAGAAAAGTACATATTTTGGAAACTGTATCACACATATGAACTTACAATGCCCACAAAATGAGAATGATAAAATTTCAGGTATCACATCATGCATTAGAAAGTAAATTGATTTTAATAGCGAGCAATAGTAACATAACATCTGATTTCTTTGGTACACATTCATATTCTTACAAAACACTCTCACATTTATGTACAGAACAGGGAAACACTGTCAAATACCTGTTATAGTACATCGTTTTCACAGCTATGAAATTCACAAATTTGTATCCTGAGCCTGTTAATAAAGTTTTTAATTTGAAAATCACTGTAGAGTAAAACGCATGCTAGGTTCAGTTTGTGAGATTGTATTTCAAGTTTTTTTCATCACTTTTTTAGCAAGATGCTTTAAGGTTCTGCCATATCGCATGTACACTTGTGTGTATGTAAGTATGAGAATCCATCACTCTACCACATTTCTGTGATACTGATTACAAGTGTTAGGATTGACAATACTTCCAATGAGTTTACTTTTCAGGATGCTGCGCTCAAGGTCAAGGTCAGGCCAAAATAAAATGGAGGCAAATGTTTTCATTTTACAGTATTTTCACCTAACAGGTACAGAACAGGTTCACATGCGCACACACAAATTATTTTTGAAATCTCATTAGCTATGTACAGAACTTGGGGGCCTAGTGTTACCTATGGTTAGTAGGAACCCAGGCCTCACCAAATATTTGCATTGATACACATGCATCAGTGGAATGGCAGTCCTAACACACGCAGGACTGCCGTTACCATCCTATATCACGACTCCACATATATATACATACAATGATTATACATTTCCCTTCTGATGTTAACAAATGGTGTGTATATACTAATACAATAACAATGCAATGTTCCATTTTTGTTCTTATCTAAGAAACATTCAGTTACATCCTGCAATATAGAAATTTTGAGAATGAAAAAATTTGAGGTCAAATCTAGATGACCTTTTGGTAATCCAATCAGCTTTCAGATTAATTTTGACAGATTTTGGAGGTGTTTTATCGAATGGTGTATCATCTTTGTTTTAATAACTACATGCTTGGTGAAATCTGGGATTTTGGTTTATATGTGACAAATATTTATAATATTGTTATACTTTATCAATGATATTCTGTTTGTCTAGTCTATGACAAAACTCCAGATGAGACCCTTTAGGACTGACTTCTAAATATTCAGTCTTTTGGCAGTTATTGTATCTAATGTATGAACAAGTAAAAGATAATGATAATAAGCACTTATGAATACAATGTTTATATCATATCAAACCTATTACTTAGCATACTTATGTTAGTGCACTCAATAATTTATCCCATTTTCAAACTTTAACAAATAGCACATTTTTGAATTGGCACATCAAGAAAATTTGCAATAGAGAAAAATATACAACAACTGCAATTGGTGTATTCATAGTTCAGTGTAATAACTAAAGCCCAATATTTAAATTAAGACTACGGCTAAAATATGTATGTCTACAGTATTATAAAGTAATTTATAGAAATATCGAACAAGTGATGACTTTTTAGTTGAGAATTAATTCATAAGGATTGATATGATCAGGATCAATCATCACCAGTTAGATATTCTATTTCTCTCATTACTTAAAAGTAAATAAAGACAGTGTAATGTAACATTGCATGATGTCACATCACACTGTGAAATTATCCAAAATATAATATGGGCTAGGAATGTTCAAACCTGAAGCATGGGTGAAAATCAATACATGTATATCAATATTATTTTGCATAGCATTATATACAGGTTATCCAGATTTTGGTTACTTCTGTATGTAGATGACATTTTACCATGTGATTGGCAGATCGTCACATGACATATCATGTGATTCATTCTGTGAAAAGTGGTTTGTCCATTTCGTCCATGTCGTGGCTTCCTTGGAAACAGTTGACATTGCATTTCTTCAGCCTTGGACCAAACAATTCCTGTAAGTAGAAAACAGATATGACAATCCTGATTAGGTTGACTATAACAGATGTAGTATGTTTAGTAGTACTATCTAGACTTAGGTACAAAACAATACAAGAAGGAGCTGATCAGTATATCATGTCCGTTGGTTAGGTATTTCTTCATAGTTTTGAAAACCTTTAAGAACAAGGAACAAAATACACTTAACCAAAATAACAGGTAAAGAAACTTTTTTTATCAATACTGCCCATGGGCCTGAATGTTCAAAATTGAACTTCAGCAAGTAATTGATACTAATTTATGAATGTGAGAATGTTTCATGAGATTCAAAGCATTCCTTCAAGAGTTATGACATGGAAACCCTTTGTGGAGATGCTGCTAGATAGCTTGAGTGACCCCTGTATGTTCCCTGGTGACAACCTATAGCTACCTAATTATAAATGTAAACAGGTGTTCACAAAACTAAGTAATCACAAACTAGAGGTAGGTAGAACTGAAAACGGATATATAGAACATTTTCATACATTTAAACAACATGTCTTGCAAAAAAAAAAAATTGATGGATATACTGCTAATATGACCTTAAAAGGAAGATTATACTGAACCATATATTTTGTATCCAAGGATATAAATCCTCTACTCTCTCTAATAAGTTGCAATGAAAGATATCTGTGTTTTATCGGTCAACATGTGGTTTGCAGGTTTACTGGGTCATAAAATTTCTATCTCCAGCCAAGGATGCTACTTCCCTGAGTGTAAAACCAGACCAACTACAAACAGAGCACCCTAGAATAACCCAAAAGAGTTCAGGCTCTGTTAGAATCACCAATAATAATTTCTACCCCTGTCAGAGTGAACTTCCTATCTCCTGTTTATTTACCAGCTGTGAGATCAAAGGTCAGCCAAGATAAAATAACAAATTCTAATAATTCAAAGTTTGAACAACCCCTGGTTATAAATAACAAAAATAAAAGTTTATTCTGACAGAAATTTTGTTTCGTTTATATCAAGGTACTAAATTATGGCATAAAAACAGAAGGTTTTATATCAGAATCTAACATAAGTTTTCCTGATACAACACAATGAGGTCATCTCCCTAACCTGTCTAACACTTCATTGTGGCGGTAACATCCCTTTTTGCTTTGAAGTCATTTTACTGTAAATTAAACAGTCTTGTGCGATTGTACAGAGGCCCATATAAAAGCCTTGTGCTATATTTTCATCAGGAGTACCAAATTGAGTAATAAGAGCGTAGCTCTAGGGCACCTGATCGCAGCTCTTTAATGGTAACACATGCATGCATAAACAGAGTTGCTACCGCTTTCTACACCTTGCCTTTAATTTTTTTCGTCAGGAAGTAGACGTCCAGTGGGGAAACCGGAAGTGTATCTTTGAAGCAAAGACAATTGTGTTTCAACCCATAAATGAACATCTTCATATAGTGAAAACAATACCCATGTTTTATTACTTGTTTATTTAGATAAAAACTTATATACATTCTTAGTGAAAAAAATCTTTCACATAAATTTTGATACAAGCAGGCATGAAACGTCGCTCAGATATTATCATACTATAACGTCATACTCCATCGGCCTTCATTGATTATTTCCGGAAGGATAAAAAATAACCGGAAAATCTTGGAACTGATGGCCGTTGCATTTATCTATTTGTTGGTGCTTCATGACTTTTTAATTTCAGTTTTTGCCACAGGCACAAAAAGTAACAAGAGGCCCAGAAGGCCTGTATCGCTCACCTGAATATGTTTAAAATAATTGGTATGAAGTAAAGGTATAGCACTCCATTGTAGGTGCTGTAAGTACATATAAAATTTAAGAAAGATCCATCCAGTACTTGAGATATAGTGAGAACAAACTTTAAAAAGAGCCCCACACCTATGCCCCTAGGGGGGGTCATACCCACCAATTATACAAAATTGAGAACCCTTGGCCCAAGGATGCTCCAGACTAAATAAGGATAAAATCCCTTAATCTCGATGGTCGAAGAATGATTTTAAAGGTTTTACCTCTATTTCTCCTATTGGGCCCCGCCCTTCTGCCCCCTGGGAGACCACACCCACTTCTTATACAAAATTGAGTCCCCTTGGCCCAAGGATGCTCCAGACTAAATTAGGATAAAATCCCTTAATCCCTATGGTAGAAAAAGGATTTTAAAGGTTTTACCTCTATTTCCCCTATTGGGCCCCACCCTTCTGCCCCCAGGAGGGCCACACTCGCTGTTTATACGAAATTGAGTCCCTTTTGCCCAAAGATGCTAAAGAATAAATTAGGATAAAATCCCTTAATCCCTATGGTAGAAGGATTATAAAGGTTTTACTTCTATTTCCCCTATTGGGCCCTGCCCCTCAGGTCCCAGGGGGGTCACATCCACTGTTTATGCAAAATTGGTTCCCCTTTACCCAAGGATGCTCCACACCAAATATGGGCCAAATCCTTTCAATCTTACAGAAGAAGAAGGATTTTAAGGAATAATTTGCTATGTTTCCCCTATTGGGCCCCACCCCTTAGCCCACAGGAGGGCCAGACCCACTGTTTATACAAAATTGGTTCCCCTTTATCCAAGGATGCTCTACACCAAATATGGACCAAATCCTTTTATTCCTACAGAAGAAGAAGGATTTTAAAGAATAATTTGCTATGTTTCCCCTATTGGGCTCCACCCCTCAGGCCCCTGGCGGGCCACACCCAAGGATTATACAAAATTGGTTCCCTTTCACCCAAGGATGCTTAAAACCAAATATGGAACAAATCCTTTCATTCCTACAGAAGAAGAAGGATTTTAAAGAATTTGCTATATTTCCCCTATTGGGCGCCGCCCCTCAGCCCCAAGGGGGACCAGACCCACCATTTATACTAAATTGAGTCCCCTTGGCCCAAGAATGCCCCAGACTAAATTAGGATAAAATCCCTTAATCCCTATGGTAGAAAAAGGATTTTAAAGGTTTTGCCTCTATTTCCCCTATTGGGCCCCACCCCTCTGCCCCCAGGGGGGCCACATCCACCGTTTATACAAAATTGAGTCCCTTGGCCTAAGGATGCTCCAGACCAAATTTAGTCAAAATCTGCTTGGCCGTTCAGGACAAGTAGCGTTTTAAAGGAAAAGTTGACGGACGGACAGACGACGGACGCTCCTGTATGGCATAAGCTCACCATGGTCCTACGGACCAGGTGAGCTAAAAACGTGGATGTTTTCTGAAGATCCTTTTTGTCATCAACCAGGTTCTGTTAATATTTCTACCGGGAGATATTTTCAAAAAGAGCCGCAGTAAACCAATAGGTCAACGTGCACATTTATTTTTCATTGTCTAAAATTTTATCAGTTTTTGATTTCCATTTGTTGAGAATATGAACGAAATAATTAACAATTTTGAAAGTCTAGTTAAAGTCTTTACATAATTTATGTATGCATCACCACTCATAAAAGAAACAATGGATAATTCATTTCTGTCGAAATCAACAATAATTGTCCAGACAACGAACCCGAGTTCAACACCCTTTTTCAGCAACGTATTACTTTTTCACAACGCAGGCAGAAACTGTTTAATTTTATTTGTCATCATTACCTTTAAAACCTCAGTGACAGTTACAAAATTTGAAATTCAATCCGGTGTTTCAGGATGGAACAGGAATTCTAAATATCGATATAACGACAATCTCAGTTACATCAAAAAGTATTACAATGTTTTCTTTTTTTAATTATATTTTTTTAACTAACATCTCTATACATTTACTTTTATAGACTTATCGACAAATATGTAATATGCACCTTTTTTCAATAGCAATTATCAAACAGTTTTTTTCCCACCTTGTTTCAATCAGTCTTTTTGTGACCTGACGGACGCATGCAGAGGATTTAATAACTGGAGAAAACCTGCATGGTCGGGCAGGTAACCGGGATTGAATCCGGCCATCTTGGTGAAGATGAGCACGCTATCCACTGCGCCAACCGACCCATCATCTACTTTAGCATTGAAAATGACATCATTGATGCAAATAATATATACTGTGAATACATTTTTACCAATCATCACCGATACAAAAAAAATCTTGCCTCATTCTGAAAGCAGTATTATCTCATTCTGAATCAGTAAATATCAGAGATGAACAAAAGCTTCGCTTTTTTAAGGCTTTGCCTTTTTCATATTAGGTTGTGAATTTTATGGAAATCTTTGATGAAATGATAACATGTCTATGAACTACTTATAACATGTTCCTACCAGTAAATACCAGTCACAACGTAATGGCGATCAGGTAGGGTTAAAACGCTATAGAGGTGGAGTGGACAGAAACCAGTGTTGTATTCATGGGCTTATGACTGCAATGTCAGTTTACTCAGTGAGTAATGACTTGCTTTAATTAGTTACAAACTTTCAGTTAACAATCAAGACTTTTTCACAAAGTGTCAAAAGAGTCCTAAAGAAATCAGTGTAAAATAAACAAGTAAAGATTTCATAATGTTGTTAAGGTAGTGATGTAATTTTCACACCTGTAATGTGAATTACTTCCCTTTATTAGCTAAAATAATATAGAATGCAGACAAATGGATCTTTATGTTAGATAATACTCAATCACCTGTGTCAAAACAATTCTCACTGAAAGATTTGATATGACAATAAGTAAACAGAAATTGTCCCAACCTTTTCTTGAACTTCGCATATATCAATAACTTGTCTAGCTGCTATAGTATAGTGTAAGCTACCACAACCATAATTACACCACCACCCCCTCCCCTACTTATCATTTCACATATATATAATATGAAACAACTTCATACAAAATACATGTTGAGACAAAAAATGAAAAAAAAACACCAATCCAACAAGCTTTGGTCGTGATCAGCATCAGTAATTAGCGTCGGTAATTAACCGTCATATCACAGTAGTATAATGATTCCTTGTCTGATAAATGGGAGCCAGACCACACATACTTATCACAGTACAACAGGTAGAGGAGATTCGTGATAGAATCGAGGGTGTAATTGGTTTCCTGATAACAGTCCA